CTCTCTTTCACATGTATTTTGAGTTCCTTTCCTTAAAAGCAATCTGACTTTTCCCTGAAGAGTGCCACTGCAGTCCTCTTAAATGGTTGTCTTGTTGAAGGAAAATGATATTTACAAAGAGACCAAATAAAAACCTTTTTCAGCCAGTAAATTCTGGTTTCATAATTTTATGAATTGATTAATGTTAAGAGATTAGTGAAAGTGGCTGTGACAAAAGGGTGAAGAGGTCCACAGGAAGTGATGCTGCTACACTTTGTATTAAAGAATTCTTGGGAATAGTTGACAAGATTGAAAATGCAAAGATAAAATGTTGGAAGCTGATCTAAACTTAGAAAGCAGAATGACAATTTATCAATATAGAAGATTAAGTAATAGTATGAGAAGAGGCAAACAGTTCACACTACTATTGGTAACTTTGTTTTCTTTGTTTTTTTTTAAACAAAGAATAAGACTAATTCTCCATGTTTCTCATGTTTTAAATTATGGCATACTAAATAAATTAGTTTTACAATTTAAAAAATTCCTGATATATTTCTACCTAGCAGTAAGAGAGTTTTTGATGTTTCAACAAAAGTTCTTAAGTGTCGCTGAACAATTTTAATTTTTCTCTTTGATTATTAAGATCACCTTGCACGATTTCAACTTCTATAGTCATTTTTGTAGTCCTACCATGCCAAGCTTGGACTGGCTGTATGCTAGTTTCTCAATTCCTTAACCAACTCACATTCAATTGCCTTTTATTTCCTTTTACTCCTCTACACCTTGCTATTGCCAATATTAGTATGACCTCTGAAATCTTTATTTCAAGCAAGTTATTTTCACGCAATCATTTTCTGTCCTTTCAGCTTACCACCTCTAGTACCCTGAAGACAGCCACTCTTTAATCTTATTGAAATCGCCAGTTCATTGGTTTTTGTCAACCATTTATAGCCCTCTAATTTCCTTCCTTATTCAGCTTACATTTCATGGCTCATCATTATAATCACTCCTTTCCAAACACACTCCAATTGTTTTGTCTCTCTTCCTCACCTGGAAAACTCCTTCGTGAATGAACCCTGTTATCTGCTTTGTCCAAGCCTGAATCCAAGTAGCTAAGCTTGACTGAGAACCTCACAAAGCCAGACTGGCTAGTTTCACTTTAAATTCATGACCACAAGTCTCAAGTAGGCAAAGCACTTGGCATCCTGGAAACTTTGCTTTCTTGCTCTCTGACACACCTTATTCTTCCTCAAACCTTCTGTATCTCTCTCCTTTACTCAACTGTCAACTGATTTTCCCTTTATATTTCATTAAGGAAAGAAAATATGTCAGAAATAAAAATCCTTCGTTTTCCACTTACCTGCTTGCAGCTGCAGCCACCTTCTGTCTTTCCTGTTAGAATAGGTGGATTCTACTTCTCATCTAATACCTGTGCTCTGGGGCCCATTCCTTCTTGCCTTCTTACAAGCTGTCTTCCAGTAGCATTTCCTCTCTCTGCTGAATCATGGTTTTCCACCTTTGGACTCAGTCATTCTTGTTAGCATACCAACTGTCTTCCATCTTAAAAACATTACTACTACCTCTCCAGATACTCTCTTTCTCCATTACTTCTAATAATAAAACTTCACAGAAGAGTTGTCTATACTCTGGCTCCAATTCCTAGTCTCCCATTCCTCCCCTAATCTACTTCAATTTAATTTCTGAAACCATCACTTTGCTGAAATAGCTTGAAACAGTCAAGATAGTTAATTACCTTCAGGTTGCTAAATACAATGGATACTTCTCTGTTAATTTACTAACTTCTCCATTGAGAGAGGTGACCAATTCCTTTTAAAAACACTCTCTCCTTTCAGTTTACAGTACTTTACACTCAGTTTTCTTCTTTTTCCTTCTCTGTCTTACTTCCACAAGTTGAATACCTTTGGACTTCTTGGTTTTGGGCCTTATTTTCACCTATATCTGCATAATCTAAGTGGTCTCATTCAGTTTCATGGTTTTTTTTTTCCCCTTATCACTGTATTTCCAGGGCCTAACTCAGGGTGTAACTTATTAAACAATAAGGCAGTATTTGATGAATGAATAGCTTTTTATATCTCCATCATTTAACATAGTTCTCAGTTAATATTTGGCTTGCCGTAAAGTATTTGTGGAATAATTGAATGGTCATTATTATTATTACCATACAAATGAGGAAATGGAGGGTCAGAGATATTAAATAATTTACCTGTGGTCACACAGCTAGTAAGTGGCACATCTGGGATTCAAACCAAAGTCTTAACTCTAAATCCTTGTTCTCTCCATTACATCATAGTACCTCCCTACGTATTTGGTCCTTAACTCCTAGAATCCATCTTCATTTACCTTATTTTTATGCCAAACTGGAATGACTGATGTACCTGAATATGTCGATTTTCCCCCCTCAGCCTGTTATGGACTTGAAACCTAATTTCTACTTCCATTGCACATCTACCTGTATCTTTCCTACCTGTCTTTAAAAGCAGTTTTCAAATTCTATGTCAACCTTGAAATCTCCATTTTTTTTTAGTTGCTAGCAAACTCCATTTTTTTTAGTTGCTAGTTGTCTTCCACCTAAGCTGCCTTAAAGTACAATTGTATCTTTGTACAATATTCTATTAGTGTTGAAGCTGCCTATAGGATCCCAATCTATACAGTGCCTCCTTAATATTTTTCCTTGCCTTGCACATTGGAAGACTGAATCAGTATTTGTTGACTCCGGAATCAATTTGCATTTGATCTTGTCAACCTAAATAACAGACAGGTTTGCCAAACATGACAAATGTGAGAGTAGACATTGCAATGTGGAATAAGGTGTCATAGTAAACTATAGGTGTATTGAGGGAGGTAAAGGAAGACAAGGGGTTTACAAGGAAAGTGAGGAGGATTACCTAAGTTGTTTTGAAACAATTATCCTTGGCTATAAATATCAATAACAAAGGGGATGCCACTCCAAGATTGGGCAGGCAGTTGCTGTGCAAATGTCCTTAAAGCATTTTTTGTGTACTGTTTTGTGGCCTTTGTGCAAGGTTGTGGTTTTGGTAGTTTTTTGTGATAATTCTTGATATCAGGCTATTAGTGAGAACCTACCCTTCATGGCTTTCCTTGACTCCATTTTGTGACAGCTTTCACAATGTAGACAGCTGAAGAGATTTTTTTTTTTTTTTTTTTTTTTTTACGCTGAACTCTATCGGGAGAATCTGACTCAGGGTCCTGATGAATGAAAACAATTTAGCTGAAAGATGCAGTTTCCTCTTGGCAGATTCATACAAGGAGTGTAGTGGAAGCTTACACCTGCACGTGACAGGACTGAGGAAGTAGGGATGGTCTGGCCTCAGCTGAGAGAATGAAGCTAGATTAGTAAGGCTTGAAGGCCCGGCATGTCAGTGGTGACCTCTCTGACCTGAGCAAGTGAGCCAGGCTGGGCTGGGCGTGTCAACGACGGTATTTGTCAATGTGACGCCCTAGAAATAATCCCTTTATCTTTCCGAACTTTTGTTGCTGAGTGTAGGCAACAATAATGAATGGAAAGCAAGCGGGATTGTACTTTAAATCTGAGAACATTCTCTATCTTCCAGAACAAGTCATCTGCAGGCGCAGGTAATGGAGTCCGTGATGTCAGCTGTAGACTGGCCGCCCGGGGCCCAGGCTCGGCTCCTCACTTTCCTGTTTTTAGTGCGGTCCTAGAAGAGCCCTGATGCAGCCCAAGATCAGTAATAAATGCAGCTGAAATACTCCGGCTCCCACGTTCTCCGGGAGGTACCTGTCAAGCCGGCCTTCAGGCCCCTTCCCGGCTCCCAGCCAACCGCGTCCTCGGCGGAGGCATCAGCCACGCGGGAACGCAAACCCACGCGGGCCGAATCTCAGCGACTTTTTCCGGCCGTGCCTTCCCCACGCTCCTGGGCGGGCGCCGACAGCCCCCGGGGGCAGCTGCGGATGCCCGGGGAAGCGCGGCCGGGACAGGTGGCTCCGCGGCTCCCTTCCGGCGCCGCCAGGGAGAGAGGCGGCCCGAGAACAAAGGCGGGAGAGGGGCGGCGACTGCGAGCGCGCAAAGGCGGAGGCCCGGCAGTCCCCGAGCGGCTTCCGGGGCACGGCGACCCCCGGCGGGGAGGGGGCGGGGCGGGGACCCCCGGGAGGGGCGGGGCGGGGCTAGGCAAGCGCCGCGGGGGCGCGGAGAGAGGGAGGGAGCCAGGGTGACGCGCGGAGGGGCTGGCCCCGGCCGGGCTGGGGGCCGCGGGGAGGGGGCGGCTGCCAGTGCGCCAAGTGGAGACTAGCCGGGCCGGGGCGGGCCGGAGGGCGGGCGGGAGGTGGGGCGCGCCGCGGGCTGGTGGGAGCCGCGGCCGAGTACAACGCCGGGCCTGAGGCAGCCGCGGGTGTGAGGGGAGCAGCGGGGCTGAGGCGGCGGCGGGGCTGAGGGGAGCAGCAGGCCTGAGGCGGCGGCGGGGCTGAAGAGACCGGCGGGGCTGAGGCGGCCGCAGGGCTGAAGAGAGCGGCGGGGGTGAAGGGAGCCCCGGCGGCAGGGAGGCCAGCGGCGGAGCTGTGGGGGGCGGCGGCCGGGCGGGTCGGGCTGACGTGAGGAGCGCCGCCGCCGCCGCCGCCG